CCCACTCTTCTGCCTTGGTGAGTTCGTTTCATGTTTTGTTCTTTTGACTTACTTGCGGGTCGAACAATCAGGGCAACCCACACCTACGGGGCTTCTTTTCCACTTAGAGGACCGCAAGAGGCACAGTCTTGGTGTATTCCGCGAACCACGGTCGCGACCTCGTCTTCGCAATTGTGTGCGACTCTGCTGTGGGATCGATATGGCGGTTTTGCGTTGGCGACGTGCATACAAGTGCTCTCTCGTGTTGCACCACGTTCTTTCTTTATTTACCTCACCCCGTTAGATACTCTAACCTTTTCCCTTCGAAGTTGGTGTGTTATTGTATCTCTCACGACGAATCCCCTCCGAGCTTTCTGCCCGTAATGACGCACTTCGCTGCGACGACAAACTTGTTACGACTTCTGACAAGCCACGACACGCCCAGAAAGTAATGCACTAGTCATCGTAGTCGTCCACAAGCTACCCCATCAGGCAGTGGGAGGGGCCAAGTTTTCATCGTAACACCCCTCCCCCACGGTTGCATCAGTCCAAAGGAGTTGCTTCTCAATGGGTAAAATATGAAAATGAAGCTATGACGTGCTCCGCACCATCCGTGCTCCCACTGGGGGGAGATAGTTCAGGGGGTGGCCATTCCTCTAGCTACCTAAAAGGAAGGTGCGAAATCAGCACCACCTTTCGTGCAGTAGGGGATACTGCGATGGTGGTGCTTAGTAGAAAAGGGGGGGGGGGGGTGCTGCGACGAACCTTTGCCCCACTTCCTTAATGAAAAATGAAGTTAATAAAGTATGTACTTCGCCTTTTAGGCGTGTGCATGGGGGGCGGGGGAGTTCAGGGGGGACAACAACTCTGTATTTACCTAAGAGGGGGGGGGTGCAGGTATTTAGGCGTGTGCATTTAGGCGTGTGCATTGTTTAGGCGTGTGCATTGCATTGTATAGGCCTGCAGTATTGTATAAATAAATAAAATAAATGAATAAATAATGAAATTTTATGGGGTTTTTCGTCCTAAATCTAAGATGAGATCATGAGAGACGTCGTAGTTGAAGACTCCGGACATTTCGACGATGTAGTGTTCGTTAACATGCACCAACATCGCCACAGTACATGGGAATCTACCATTTCACCCGCACCAAAATGTCACCCTCGTGGCCGGTATTGAACCGGGGACCTTTCGGTCAGCTGCCGAGCGTCACAGGCACTGATCCACGATGGTGGACAGAAGAAGTCTTTGTCATAACGAAGTCAAGAAAAACCTGTGTCTCGTGGGCCTTCGTTACATTACATGCCACTGATATTGATCGCTTGAGGGCAGGCCAATGGCCGATGTTGGGAGACATCTGTACGCTTTTGTTTTTGAATACGTCTTATTCAGCGAATGTAAATCCTTCTTTCCATGTAGAACTTGAGTTGAGAGTTGATAGTTCACACTGTGCCTATGTTGAGTCGTCTTCGTTGAATAATGGCCAGAAATTGGGCACATTGATGTAGTTGAGGAAACTGCCACCAGATGCCACTAGACAAGGTGTAATTGTGATATTGAGGCTGCCTTGCGTCTTTGAACTGTGACAGCTCTCCCCGTGAGGCGAGGCTGTGCGTAGACAAGGCTATCCAAAACTATCGCAGGCAAACATTATTACCTACAAGTACATTGTTTTCTCTCATAGTTACTGACGGAAATTCACAAGCAATATTCCGTAAACAACAATGTGAGCACAAACATTACCCTAAGACCACATGTTCAAACTTTTTTCGCTGTGCTTTGAAAATACCATTTCGATTTTATGCTTGCAGACACGAAGAATGGTTTTATTACAATTATCTACAATGCATGAACGGTAAGCAAACACAAAACTTTGAGTTCGATTTGCAGTTTCCAACATTGAGTGACCCGTGGGACAAAGAAATAAGAACACACACGCACACTCAAACACACATACATCGAGTAAAATGCGTCGTCTGTTATAGATGCTCTAAAGATGCGAGTTGTTGAATACATCAACAACTTTTAAGCAAACTTTTTTTTACTTTTTTGTCGCTCTCTGGAGTTTACTTACATTTCAAACAATATTGACAAACATTTTTTTTTTGCGATCATTCGTAAAACAAGCCAGCATGCAAGAAACAACACACAATCGACTGCATTCCTTGCGAGTCGGCATCATGGGTCGTAACAATAAATACAAAAAATGCCCCAAAACCTCCTGAAAGCTTTGGCTTTTTTACGAAGCAGTTCTGCGCAGCAGCAAAGCCCACTTCAATGCCTTCAGAAGAAGTGTTTTGAAAGCCGACATGCCGCTCCTACCGAACGTGCAATCGGAAGGCTTTTGGCGACAGCTTCTCACGTTTACACGCATTGATTGAGAAGTAAACAAAGTGAAAATGAAAAAAAAATGTCATTGACTCATCTGTGATGCGAAGATAAAAAATATTGAATGTCATGTAGGTGTCACACAAGGCCCTCTAGAAAGTTGACAAAAGATCACCCCCAACTCGAGATGAGAACCCTGGAGCTGTACGTAGCGGTAGATCCTGCATTATGGCTAACCGTATCGTACAGATGCTTCATTATCGACCTGGCACCGAAAAAATTCTTGGCGCCGGACGAAATTTGTCCGAGTAGCGTATCCGAACCCCAGACTAACACATTTCAATTGGAGTAACCGTACCCTCGGGGCTAACCTATTGGTGCCAAAAAAAAAAAAAGCGCTGGCCGCTAGTTAAACCCCTCTGAAAGACGAATTTTTCGCCTTTCAGGAAACTTCATGAAAATCTGCATGGATTTACTTTGTAGCATCGTGCTTCTAGCGGGAGTTACAAACAGGTGTTAACGATAGAGACAGCCTTTTGAACCAAGTTGATTTTCTCTTTTGATTACTTAGTCTTTACCTTGCGGGTTGCCACAGTATGAGTTTTCCAAAATCAATTAGTATTATAACGTTCCGTGTGTACGATCAACTTAGTTGCGCTGAAAGTGTGCACCTAAAAAGGTGATGACAAGAAAAAGGAGAAAGAAATGAAAATATAACACTCACTCTGTCTATCATGTCTTCAATTTCGCGAGAAAAGAAAGTTCCTTCTATTGACGAGCTCATTAGCTCAAAAGAACAGTTCATTCGATAAAGTCGGGCCTCGTGAGACGTCTACATAATTAATCAACCAGGAACCTTAGCCCTTCCAAAGGGTGGCTAAGTAAACGAACTCAAGGAATAGAAGACAAAAAAGGCTGATGTCAGTAAAAGAAGCACCGGCTATCGCAGCTATGTTATATACACATACAAGGCAAACAGTGATCGCAAATGGAATTTACATACAAACACTACGAGACTTTCTTACAAGTATGTACATCCATACCAACACATCAATGTTTCTTGTTTTGGAATGAAAAGATCTTTTTTTAGGGTTCTCTGGCACACGAGAAGACAGTACGTGCAGCTTGCCTGATTTGAGCTAGCTTCATGAATTAGGGCTTGCTGCCAGTGTTGATCGAAGAGGGCCTTCGTAGATATTCCGCAGTAATCGTGTACAATCGCCAGCCCCTATAGGGTTTTTTTCTGTACTTGCCATGTTTCGTTATATTAGGACCCAATACGACTAACAAAACGCCATGATGAGCTGAAAGAAACTTTGAAGTTGACAATCTGAGCGTCAGTAGTTCGTTACTTAATTGGCGATAGCGAGAACAGTGAAGCCAAGACAAAAATGAGCTGAATCTAGGACTAACGTTATGCCATTTTTTTTTTGTTTTCTGATCATACAGTCTGAAACAATTAACTTATCTGTTGCTTTTGTTTCTGCATGTTATCAGATCGGTTTTGCTTCCTTTGGCCCAGATAAAGAGGAAAAGGCGTTTAATTCAAATGAACCTGTCGCACTTTTTTTTCTACCCCAAAGAAGCTAGGAGCTGTTGTGGGGCCTAACGTTTCAATGGTCTGCTCCTATGGAAGAGGGAAAGATTGTTTACCGCAAAATTTGATAGCAATTTCTGAAATGTTCACTTCAGACGAAAAATGCGTCTAGGCCAGTCGCAGTGGCTATTCATAGCTATAATCAGCTCTAGCAGTTATGCCCACAAAAGCAGTGGTTAGGCCTAGCGCTTATCTCTTCAATGCTCCGCACGTCTAAGGCGCGCGACAAATGATAACCAGAAACTGCAACTTGTAATGGTGATCTTAATTTTGCAGAAAAAAGACGGGCAGATATCTAGATTGAATCAGCCAGCCAGTTTATTAAAAAAAGTTAGGAGCTATGATTGAGCCTGGCCCTGGTTAGGCTTAATTGTTAAACCTATTAGAGCTGCGATTAAGTACAGCGCTTATCGTTTCAGGGCTCGGCATCTAAATAATCTGCGAAGGAGGCTAAGCGTCAAACTGTATCATTTGATTGCTGTTAGGTCGTGACAGCATCGCGACCTTGTACAGGAGGCCCTGACAATTTTGTGATTAGACCGACCTGTCATTGTTGTAGATTTTACGACGAGTTTGGAAAGGCCGTTGAAGTTGAAACATATTCCAGTATGGCGAGCTCTCTAGGAACAGTGTGCAGGCTTGCGGAACTATATGTTCAACAAAAACGACCAAAGGTGCCGACGCTTACTTGAACGCTGCGTAAGGACTACATTTACATACAGCATGCTACGTCTCTCTTTACATAATAGCGAGTGAATTTTCAAAACGACAAATAACGTCTACCTTAAGCGACACGGTATAAAGCCCACAGGCCATGTGTAATTTCGTGTTGTCTAACGTTTGTCAAATGGGCGTACTGTTGGCCTGCTTTGAACCAATTACACGACAACAATTACCGGATTCCGTTCCTGTGGTGGAAACATGGTTGAAAGTTTGTCAGTCTGGCTTTCAGGGTCTTGTAAATACGTTGAGTGATACCAATATCTCATTTTGTTGGTGGAGAAAAGTCGCCGTTTTTATAATGCATCACTTAAACCGTCATCTGTCTTCAAAAGAGCAAAAGGCAAAGGGCACATGGGTAACCAGAACATCTAGATGCCACCGGCAAGCTTTTAACGTCCGATACGCATGCGCATCATTGCGAAATACAACACTGCCACGGCACAGCACACCTAATAAATACATGATATCACGATTGAGAACCAATAAATGCATTCCAGCGCGCTAAACAACACTCGCGCGACTTCTGACGCATCGATTGGTCAAGTGACAACAGCGTCACACACAACGTCGATTCACAGGGGTCTATAAGATGCACCTGGATTTCAACACATACGGTTGTTCATTGGCTCAGAAGCTGAGAAAGCATACTCTCGCGTTACTACAGTCCTTTCACTACAGAGTCCTACCAAAGATCACGTGGTTGGAGGACATATATATATATATCTATCAACGAGGGATACAAACTTCGTTTGCACACGTTAGGCGCGTAGCTACAGTTTTTTAAACTACATGACGCAATCAGGAACTGCAAAAATCTCGAACAGCAATCATAGACGCTAGAAAAAACGAACAAACAAGAAATAACTGACGCGTTTTAATAAGTCTTGTGCGCGCGTAAAACCGAGAGACTAGAAACTGAAACGACAGAGCTTAACCCAATTCGACTCGGTAAGAATCATGTCATGTTGACATATTTTGAATCCACGCGCCGCCAGAGAACTTAAGCGTTGTTTAACAGAGCCCACGGCTCCCTGTACGTATAACAACACCAGGGTGTTTGGTGTCTTGTCTCGTAGTATAGGAAACTGTGTAGGTACATGCGCAATCACTCTTTAGATGTGGATTAAATGAACACGATGTAGCTGTCTTAACCACGGATAGTTCAAACAGGGTGACGTTACCAACGTTATCCATTAGCGAAAGCTTCGCGTCATTTGACCAACCCTGGCAAATAGTTTACCGTACAATGGTCAACGCACCAGGCTATATAGAGAAACCCTCGCTGACATACCCGCATAGAAATATCCAAGACTGGCCAATAATGACTGCGATAAGGCTAACGCTTATGCATGCATCTTGGAGGCCACATCGATTGGCACTTTAAAACAATCATATGGCCATGATCAGTCATAATTACCCATCGCATAGTGAATATTATTTGACGCTAGCTGGTATTAGCGATAAAATTGTCAGAATTATATCTTACTAGATGACATCGGCCATAATTTAGCCAGCACTAGACGAAAGTAGATGATGCTGACCAATAATGGTAGTGGTCTCGTTAAACAAGAAAATGGTTCACCACTTTTTAGAAATCGCCGTTGGCTTCGCTGTGGTCTCAAATACAAACACAACAATATGAAACTACGGCCCAGGAACTACAGTGAATATAATTAGCCACTAGTTAGTCAACATTAACGAACGTCTGCCGGTTCTAGCCATCATACAGCCGACATCAGCCATATCTTAACCATCACTACCTAGCACTCAGTCTGGCTTCATATTCTAGAATCAATATTCACTCCATCAGTTTTTCATACGTGCTTGTCAATCAGCGTTCTTTAGAAATTGCTAGGGGCTACGCTGCTGTTTCGCGTGTAAACAGAACGATACGAAACTACGGCTGAAGAACTACGATGAACACCATTGATACATTCAAGCGGTGTGATTGGCTTTTCTTTTTCTCTTTTGGCTGCCTCGTTCGCATCTTCTCAGTTTATACATGTCTGAAAAAACCGTCTGTGTGTGGTGGTCGCAAGGTTGTCAATTGTGCCTGTTGCCTTCCAAGAGGAAGGATGCAGGATCGCCTCTTCACTTCTTGCCCCATTTCTGGAACAGGCCCATCCTCTGGCACCGGCAGTTGGTGCCCCATAGGTTACATCTGCACGATGAGTTGTAGCAGCAATCGTTCGGGCGGTGGTCGCAACTGCCCCCACGACGAATGCAGCTCCTCCTGGGAGAGAAAAGCGGCGACAGTGTGAGAAAAAAATGCGCAGTTTTACCCTTGTCGGATTCAGTCTTGTGTTAAGTAGGATTTAGCTTTGTCTTTTTGTAGAAATAACAAAACGAACAGAGATATGTAAGAGTCATGGGCACGCAATGCGTTTGGTTTGTGCCTATTACTTTTTTTGATAACCCGTCAGGATAAAAAAAAAGAGAAAACATTTGTTTCACAGCCATAGGCTCCAGCGTCCACGTGTCCCATGTAAAATCACCTATAAGGTCGGTTGTAATGCATTGCTTTTATTCGCTCTCCTTGACAACCAATGTAAGTACCCAGTGGTCATATTCGGTGAACATTTTGTTCCGTTTTTGTTTTCTATATGCCAGCGGTGGGTTCATTGATGATGACAACTTTGGAACATCTTGTTCCAAAGTTTTCATCAACATTGAAGGATATATTGAGTCTTAACACATGACAGCGATGGCTCGTCGTATAGTAGCTAAGAGTTGATAGGCGGGCTTGGTACAAATTCATAATGAAATAATAGGAAGCGCTTGTTTGTCTCTTGTCTTGTGTCCCGTTGGTTTGCACTTCCAATTATTTCATTATGTATAGTAGCTGCATTTGCGTTTCGCACTTCTACACTCTTTGACGGTTCTCGCAGCAATATGGAGAGCAAAACTTTTGATTTTGTTGGATTTCAGTCAACCCGTGTCGTAAGAATGTGAACTGCCGAGCTTCGTGCTTCTCTATATGCATCTCACCGACTGTAGCAAAGAAAACAAAAGTGAGAAAGGAAGAAAGAGTTCTAAAACAAAAATCGAGAATATGGACTAGAGTAGAAAGAAAAATACTAAGGTAGCCACATAAAAAGCATTAGATGAAGGTTAACGCAACATAGACGAAATGGCAAACGTGTGCCTGTCCAAAAAACAAAACCTGTGAATTGAAAAACAAGGAAACATTGGTGGGTATAACGCACGAAAGAAAGATTGAAATCCATCCATCCATCCATCCATCCATCCATCCATCCATCCATCCATCCATCCATCCATCCATCCGTCCATCCATCCATCCATCCATCCATCCATCATCCATCCATCCATTCGTCCGTCCATCCATCCATCCATCCATCCATCTATCTATCTATCTATCTATCTATTATTATCATCTATCTACATCTCTTATCTATTATCTATTATATATCTAATCTATCTATCTATCTATATTATCTATGATCCCTAGTCTCTATCTCTCTATCTATCGATTCTATCTATCTATCATCTATCTATCTATCATATATCTATCTATCTATTATCATTTATATATATTCTATTTCTATTATTTCTTATTTTTTGTTTATAATTTTTGTCCTTATTTTTCTTCTATTATTCTCTATCTATCGATCTATCAAGGAGGACATGCTACCTGTCGTCCCCTCCTGCGTGCTTACCCTAAAGCAGACGAGAACTGGTTTATAGGCAGCACATTTCAATGCAGATGAAGAAGAGAAGCGAGTTCTTGCAGCCACTTAAGTTCTCTATGTTTACTCAGGTGAGCAGAAAAATATAGAAGGCAGATACTGATGTACAGATACACAGATCGATAGAGAAGTGCGGTAGGAAGTACTTCGTTAAAATCCCGATGTACCGTCCCACTCCCGTGACATTTGTACTCTGAAGAGCGAAGATATAATAATCAACAATGAACACATAGAAAATGAGAAAGCAAACAGGCCTGTGCGATGTTAAACCCACGCTACGAGGTGGGGACAATGCGTTGAGTGGTTTTACCACCACTAGCCAGTCCTTAGCACTAAAGTCTAGGGTATACCACCCCGTCTCTTTTGGGGATGCGCTTGGCAACACAGTGATTCAGGTTCTTCGCATTCTGCACCGTGTATGAGAAACGCATAAATAAAAACTGCGAAAAGAAGAAACGAACAGCCGACAAAGAGCCACGCTGTGAACATCTTATTGGGAACGCCATACAAACGTCTCTGAAAAGACCAAGTACGCGTCGCTCGGTGAAGTGGCACCGATAGCTACACAGGAGAGCAAATGAAATTTGCTCTCCGGTTGCCTCCCACGCAATGCTGTAGGTTCGACCATACAATGTTTCTGGCAGTAAAGCCACTGCGTGGCAGTGAAGTCGTCGAAGTAAGCCAACATCTTCGTTGTTTACCAGGTACAACCTCTGCATTTCTCTCGATGTTCCTTAATGGCGACCTTCGAGACAGATTCAAAGTCCACCTACGCCTGCATGTTTTTTCCTAGGAAGTCATGGTCCTAGGAAAGCACATAGTGTGCGCGGGAATTCTGGGAGTGGAAATGTCGCTAGCAGCAGCTTCAGCTCGTGTTGCTGAGTCGCAGCTTGGTGCTAATGTCAACCTGTGTCATGCAACCGAAAAAAACAAACTCAGAGAATCATACCAACGCCACCTCAGTTTTATCAATGCCAGCCGGATGCGCTTGATCCAGCCGCTCACCACCCTCTCTTCTAGGCCTTTACTGTAGTCGCCCATTCGCGGGTGCTTTGTGGTCACGGGAGAGAGAATCCCTCATGCAGTGCCTTAGGATGGAACTAATGTCAAGTATTTTTTTTTGGTCAGTTGCGTACAGATCCCTGAGGTGGTTGGTTGGTTGCGAAACTTTATTGAGGTCCTGCAAGGCGCGCGTCAGCGCGCAGCGGGCGACTCCCACGTCAGGACCGTTAGGCCAAGCCTATCGGCTGCTCCGCGGGCCTGCTGGACGGCCCAAAGTTGGTCGGCCAGGAGGGAGCTGCGTAGGGCCACCTCCCACCGGACCGATGTAGTGTTGGGGTTAGTGTACATTGCCTTGCACTCCCAGAGCATGTGCGCCAGCGTGGATACATCCCCACATGCGGGGCAAGCGTCATTGGGAAACACGTCAGGATAAATAGCGTGAAGGGATCTCAGGTTAGGGTACGTGTCGGTCTGCAGTAGTCTGAGCGTAAGGGCCTGTGGCCTATTAAGATTTGGATGAGGGAGTGGCGTCTTCCATTCATTGTGTTCACATTATCATCGATCACGTTGGCTTCATAAGTGATACGGTGTTTTGAGATAGCGTGTCGCCATTCATGATGCCATGCGGGCCACCAATGGGGAAGCGTCACTGCAACGCTACTGCATGCGCTGCGTTGTGATGCGGCAGCGGCTTTGCTTCGAATCACCAAAGAAGGGTCATGAAGGAACAAATCTGACAGATGTAGAACATTGGGGTGAAAAACATGGCTATCGCACCTCCAGGTTGAAGCGCTCAGAAGCACGTGCGGGGCGAGCAGTGCTACCCCTTAGGTAGCATCGCATCAGTACCACTCCCTGAACTAAGGCGTATTAGCGGCTCCCGTTGTAAAGTGCGCGTTTGCACTGGCATTGAAAGAAACAAAGGAGGCCTTGATCTTACCATATGCTAAAAAAAACAAACAAAACAGACAGTTGCATGCGTTAAGTTCGTTGGGTAGCGATACTGTTAGCGCGCAAGTGAACACGATTGACATTAGAGTTCACGTATGGTCGTAGATCAGCCACAATATTTAAAATTTGCGTGGGTACACCTTAATTTGGTAAAATTAATATCACGTGACTTGTTGCCTCAAGCAATAGTGTTTTAGGAGAACGCCTCGTGTTACGTGATATACACAGCCGGAATTTTGAATGGAGCAAAAAAAAAAAAAAAGAAGCGGCATCCACAAAAGCAAAACATCGCAATCTTTCCAAGTGGGCACTCCTTGTTATCTAAGGGTCCTTCTTACGTGCCCAGGTGCCTTGAATTTGTTGATTACTGTTTATGCATCTCTCTATATAATGAAAGCACGTGTTGTGTTTTCATATGGTGGCCTATAACACACAATTTAGGCCAATAAAATGCAAATATTAAAAGTGTGATTTGCTTTTCCAGTGTCCTGCACCGCACGTCATCATATTCCGATGGCTCTCAGCGCAACAGTGGTACTGTTAGTAGTATTGATAGACGTAGTATTAGTAGTTGCATGCATCGCGCAGATCACGCGACCAGAGGAGGAATGAATAGAAAAATAAATAAGACGTAATTATCATGAAGTCTCTGCTAATTGCATAGTGGCAACTACAATGATAACGATATTGATGGTGCTGGAAATATGTGTAAGCGCACGCATTTTTGATCATTAGCTGTGTATTGATGACACCATGTGATCTGGCTGACCAATTACGTATAGTTTAGATGTCTGACGGTATTCACGACGTGGAACTGTTGGATTTTTATTATTTGTAAGACTCCTATACTGGACCCCGACCCTTTATTTCCTGGGGCAGTTTCAAAAGTTCCGGAAACAGATTCTGTCAAAGTTTACGTGGAAGTAGATAGTAAACCAGGAATCGATACTTAGTGTGCGCAACGTAAAAAAAAAAATGTTGAATGACGTGAGCCGACAGCTCATCCACGTCCCGCCAGTTGGTCTCGTTCTTAGGGACATATCCGAGGATTCTGAAGAACGAAGAAGGACTTTTTTTCTTCGGAGGGACAAACAGAAGAGTTCCAACGTGGTGACATTTGCAGAGGCCGCATCGATGTGCTCCACGAGCCTGCTTCCTACATTCGCAGCAATCGCACCAGTGGATTGCTTCGCGTTCTTCGCGTCTATGTTTATACGACCGGCGACCGGGAGGGACATTCGGCGAGCGACTCCGAAGAGATGACGACTATTGACCACAAAGTAGAGGGCACGACAAGGTTTTCTATTTGCGGAAAATGCGGCTACATCTATGCTTTGTTTGTGAGTGGGTGTGTGGCGGAGGGAGGGGGGGAGTTTCGGGAGTGGATGTGAAGATGCCGATATAGCGGAACCTAGGGGGAAGGGAAGAGGTGCTGTTGCTGCAGCCGTATATAAATGATAGCTGGTGATTGTGAAGGGCGAGAAGAAGAAAGGAGGTTTGTGGCCCCGCTAACCGTCTCTCGAAAAAGGCGCCTCTACTAAGGCACGCAGAGGGAAAGGGTAAACTTGGGGAC